TCGTAGTTATAATATAGCACTTTTAGTCTCCTTTCTATCATCTCTGTCTTTATTAATTTCTTTATAAATGAAGATGAAACGTTACCAGATTGTGTCGTAATGTTGCTGCTCTGTGAAGTCAGTATTTTTTTAATTGAGTTGTTAGCCTTGGTCATGAACTGAGAATGATCACTATAATTATGTTTGGCCATAATTATTTAGAAATGTTAATAGAATTTGGAATCTAAATCTAATTAGGAATATTATATTAAAATATTAGAAATCTTACACTATTTAGAAATCAAATACTAATGGAAAATATATATATTATTTAGGAATCTAATACTAATTAGAATTCCAACTATTTAAGAATTTAATACTAATTAGGATTCCAACTATTTAGAAATCTAATGCTAATTAAGATTTCATATTTAATTGAATGTCAATTTTTTGTATGGTCTCAAGTAGAGTTCCCGTGCGTTGACAAGTTTAATGAAATAGTCTATGAGTTTGGATTAAAGAAGAAAAAGTGTGATCATTCGGATTTCTATAGACAATCAACAGCTAATATTATACTTTTTATTGTTTATGATGATGATATTGTGATTACAGGTGATGACCATACAGGAATATCTTCTCTCAATTCATTCTTGCATACTAAGTTTAATAGTAAAGACTTGGGACAACTAAAATACTTCTTGGGGTTGAAGTAACAAGGAATGAATTTTATTATTTGAGAGAAAGTATGTAATTAATTTTCTTACAGAAACAGAAAAGTTGGGAGCTAAACCATGCAATACGCTAATGGTACCAAATATATATCTTACAAAAAATGATCCTCTTGATGATCTAGAAAAATACAAACGACTATCTGAGAAATTGAACTAGCTCACTGTGACTCGTTCAGATATTCCGTATCCTGTCAGTGTTGCAGGTCAATTTATGTCTGCACCTACAGTCAAACATTGAGAGACTCTGGAACAGATTTTGTGTTACTTAAAAAGTTTCTCGTGATTCAGCATAGTGTTTAGAAATTATGGGCATACTCACATTAAATGTTTACAGATGCTGATTGGACTGAATCTAAAATTGATAGGAGATCTACTTTAGGCTATTGTATTTTTATTGATGGAAATCTCATATCATAGAAAAATAAGAAGTAAACAATTGTATCTCGCTCAAACACAGAGTCCGAATATAGAGCTATAGTCCAGTCCACATGTGAAATCTTATGGATACATCATGTTTTACATTAAGTGAGTTTGAAGCCCATATCTCATGCAAAACTCTAGTGTGATAATTAAACTGTCTTTCATATTATCTCAAATCCTGTGTATTATTAAAGAACCAAACATATCAAAATTGATTGTCACTTCATCCGAAAAAAGATTTAGTAAAACTTTATACCTACTGGTTACATGAAGACAGGAGAACAACTTGATGATATATTCACGAAACCTTTGAATGAGACACATATTGAGTATCTTCAGAACAAGTTAGGCATGATTAATATGTATACTCCAGCTTGAAGAGAAATGTTAGAATATTATAGAATATTATTTGTGCATAATAGTCTAATTAACTGTCTAATTAGGAAGAAAACTAATAGGGTAATTTATGTCGATTACCATATATGAATCCGTATTTATGTATACATACCCTACTCCCATATGAATAAAATATAAAAAAAATATTTAGTATTTTTTTCCCTAACTCTTACAATTCTTATTTTCTTTAACAATCTAATTTCCATTTCTTTAACGGGAAGCCACCTGAGACGCATGGTTCTTTAGAAGGGGGTAGAAAATGTGGCTAACAACTGAAGAATTGTATAAGGGATCTATTTTCATTAGGGAAAAGGGTCACTTTGATTTAGGTTTGTCTCTCTAGCATATCACTTTACTTTTTATCTCTATTTAAGATTCATGTGGGATGCACAAATAGTTTGGATATGTATGAGAAGATTCTCATGGGAGGACTGGGAGGGAAGAATAGGAACCATCTGGTAAAGTTTGGAAGCATATCTTTGATCCAAGAGTTCTGAGGGTTTGGACATTGAAATTCCTATATTAAAGAACTTATATTCATTGGCTAAATGACTTTGACGCTTCCCAAGAAGCTGAATTCTGTGGCAGAGGGTAATAAATATCATGGGAGTGGAAGGGACGGTCGGAATGCCTAACAGGAGGATCCTTGGACTGCCATCCAAAGGGAGCTCAATACCAATGAGCGCTTCAAGTTTGCCAACCTCACAGCATCTTGTCTCCAGATATCTTTGTAATGTGTTATAAAAGGGGAGAGATACATTAACACTTGTTCCTACATTATGATGTAGTCTAGAAGTTGTCAATAAAATTGATTAATTTGTTTGGCTTTAATTGGGTACTAGAAAGTTTTGACTTCCAACATTCAAGAGAAAAAGGGTGAGGAAGCTAAATCCCTGTGGAAAAAGGTAATACTTGTAGAACTATGAAGTATATGGCTTGCACAGAACCATCAAATGTCCAATGATCAACCTACCTCATTCTACAAGTTGTGGGAAACAGCAACATTCCTTGCAACCTTATGAGCTAAAGCTCATGGTCATTATCCCAACAAAAGTATCTAAAAGCTCCATCAACACTGGGATGCAATTATCCTCCCAGTGGCATATAACTATTTTAGCTCCACTATTTTTCTGTTCACCCAATCTGCTGTAATTCCTACTAGAGAACCTGGCTCAACTATTGTGCTGCACCCACTAGAGTCATTTTCCTCGCAGCCCAGTGCAGCAGCTGCTACCTCCTTGTAGCTTCTTGGGGGTTTTTTTCGCCAGGTCATCCCCAGGCCCCACCTGACAATTTTTGCTTCTTGGTCAACCATAACCATCAGAGGATATCTCTTCAACTTTCCCATAAAATCGTCCCCAGAATCTCTCCTGCAATTATGTTTGCATAGCCAATTATGTGGCAATATTTTTGCCCTTTTGAAAATTGAGTCTGGATGCTCATCCCATGCTTGGCTGCCCAAGACACCATTACTGCTCCATGGTGGGGAATCAGGCCAACTATTTGACTCAACTCTCCCCTTATGTTCAAGGTGCCCACTCTGCTCTGGGGAACCAGTTGTTACGTCATCCATTCATGCCACCTGAATACTTCCATGCAGATGAGGATTGATTAATAAAGAATCTTATGAATATGGGTATATATCCTTTATAACTGGCTAGTAATGCACATGTCTTTCTTCTCTTACTATGAGCGGGCGTGCTACCGAAATGACTTCAGGTTCTTTGCGATCCCCTCATAAAGATCCAATCAAAAAGAGGAAGGGGGAAAAAATGATTTTTGTTTTTTAACAGTTTGGGGGATGGAAACTGAATTGCCTTTTGGTTCTCCCCGAAAACGGCACCCCCTGCCATCTCTTCTTGTTGGGAAGCAGACACTATGCATACTACTGTTCCCTACACAATTTGACACGGACAGAAAATGCTCCCCTCTGTTTTTGTTTGCTTCAACCAGCAGATATCCGGTCACCTTACACACTGGAGCAAAATAAGATCCTCTTCCAGGATAGTTTTTGTACAATTATCAAACCATTCTAACTGTATCCAGTCAAGGGTGGTCTCATTAACTTGATTCCTCACCTTTTCTTTAATCCTTATGTTTCTTGGTCACTTCGTAATATAAAACAACTTTGATTCTAATGAAAACACCGCTCCTTAATACCCTCATAATGCTCATCCTAATGTTAAATAAATGTAAATTTTAATGGAACACACAGAAATCCTCCATTATCATGATTCTTGCCTTCAGAATTTCTCAAATATTGGAAACTCAATAGGTTGTGGAGGACATTAGAAAGGGTAAAAGGAAAGACATGGCTTTGAAATTGGACCTTTTCTAAAAAAAACTTTTAATCACTAAACATTAACAAATGAATTGTCAGCCATGCATAAAAAAAGATAATATCTATAAATCAGTCAAAATATCTATCAGGTCCCTAAATCCTCCACAGAAGAAAGAAGAAAACCCTTAAAAAAGAAAGTGGTGTCCAGAATCATGAGCCCCTCACTCTCCCTAAATAGCCTTTATGAATTCTTTGAATTGACATTTCTGGGTCCAAGGTTTTTCCACTTAATTTTTTCTTGACTCCTAAGTTCAAGGTTGTCCACTTAGTCTCTAGAAAACTATTATATGTCTGCACCAAGCTTCAAACCCTGAATGTACATTATTCATGCACGCTTCTTCCTAAATGTCCAATAAACTTATATGCTAAGATAATTTCAATTTTAAGTGAAAAATATATTTAATTTACCTTAAGTTGGGGATTGTTGGAAATAATTTAATTTAAAGTAATAATAATGCAACTATAACTTTTGGTATTTTCTACATGAATAAATGAGAATATAGTTATGCATAGTTGTATTAATGCATGTTGACATCATCTATGTGCACGCATGATAAAAACATCAGATAAATCCATATATCATTAACTATAGGTGCATGTATCATTATAAAGTCAAACACATGTAATCATTAATTGTTATACTTATATTCATGTATTTAAGGAACAGTCTCACTAATAGTGAAACAGCATGGAAATGACAAGTACTTAAAGAAATCTAAATACTCTCTAAACTTGAGCATCAAAATTTGATGTTGAAAAGTACTTGGTTCCTATCAATAGAGCAAAACTATAAGCAAAATAAATCAAACCAAGGAAAGTTAAATCTTGGAGATAGAATAGATAAATTGCCTACAAAATTAGAGGCTCGAACTATCTTCAAGAAATGACGGCGTTCCTCTTGGTTAGTTTTGATATTGTATTTCATAATGGTCCTTTTAACGTATATGAATGTATGTCTACAGAACATTGATTTAGTCTCTCTTATTTAATATTCAATAGCTTTTATTCACATTGAACGTATTTCAAATGGAATTTTCATTTTGGATTGATATGATGATCATAATCTAAATAGATACAAGAACATTTTGGATTGATATGATGCTCATAATCTAAATAGATACAAAGAACAAACTTCAAAAGCAAACAGCACTTACATGAATATTAAAATCATATGGCAAAGACACAGGAAGAAGCTTCCGAAGTTGAAACGCCTATTATCATGAAAAGAAAAAGATTGTAACAATGAATATATAAAAAACTAAATTATGTAAATGATAAAAACAAAAACTGTGAATAAAGTAAAATTGAATTACTTTTACAGGAAGAAAAACTGTTTAGAGGTATGAAAGACGTATTTTCTCATAATGACTCACAATTTACAAGCACAATCTTATAATGCAGTGCTAGTTGGAGAAGTTAGGAATATTCTCAGGATAAACAAGGAATGGAAAGAGTAGCAAATTCTCAGTTTGCTTATAAGCTCTGAAATGAGATGGTTCTCCAAATCGTTAAGTCTTTCTAGGAAGAATTTGCAGGCAAGTAAGCTTGAAGAAGACTAAACCTTACCTATTGCTCTGGGCAGGTCAGAAATGTCATATTCATTTTACCATTGAAGAATAAGATAACATGATAGAAAAGGAGTATAATGAAAAAACATACAAGTATCCATTTAAACAAAGAAATAAAATCAAGGAGAAAACAAGCGAGCACGTCATACAAATGTCAAGCGGAAATGGTTCTATCACCTCTGAAGAAAGTCCAAGAAACAGTATTCCATAAATAAACCACCATAGGGATGCTGCCCATGTACAAAAGAAAGAACTCACAAATTAACCAAAATATCAATTAATTCCCTCAAATTCTCCTCAGAAGAAAGAGAATGATATTTCACCAAAAAATAAAAGACCTAGAACCATAATTCCCTCAAAGATTCTAAATGTTTCTCTCAAAATAACCTAAAAAGTAGACAAGGGGATCAAAGACATCTTTCCCACCTATTAACATCATGGAAACCTGCCAGTCCTAAAGCTCGTGTGAAATGAACCCAATAGTTTACGTATCTACAGTTAAGGAAGTCAAGAGTTGTCTCCCAAAAGCAATGTGAAAAGGGACACCACAAAAGTATATGATCTGATACCTCCACCGCCGATTCATACAGATAACAACCATTAACAAGGATGCAAAAAGGGAGAGGTGGTGAAAAAGGCCACAGTTTGTCCTCCCGATTATTCAAATTCCTCACAAGGTCGTTATCCCACACCACTTGACCACGAAGAGAAGAATTCACAAACCATAGCTCCCTCTCTTTTAGCCAATAGGTAGAACATAGGAAAGTAGGGATGCAAAAGTACCAACTTCACTCTACTCATCCTTCCGTAATTTCACCTTCTGCCTAGAGCAAACCTCCAATTAAATACGCTTGTAGAAGTCAGTCCACCACAAGTCAATCCTTTTCCATAAACACGTCCCATGGGTCTCTCGAGACATACTCTCCCCATTCCATACTTGATTCGTATGACCCTCCACCACAGGCTCCCCTCAGAGGACATAAATCTTCAATGCCACTTGGCCCACCAAATGCTCTAGAAGCTTGCTGAAAGCCCCAGAACGTGCTAAAAAGCTCCAGCACATGCCAGAAGCCTCTCGAAGCTTAAAGAAAATTCTGGAAAAGGCAAAACAAGTCCGGAAGACTCTAGAAGCTTGTAGAAGCATGCTGCCACTAGAGTTCTCTAGAAACTTTCAGCACTTGTAGACCCTTGTACATAACTCTAGAATAGTTTATAGATGTTTAATGTATACCCTTGGATCAAAACGATCCTAACCTTCCATTGAGGGGGGCCAACCTTTGTAAATAGACCTCCCCTCCCATTTGTAGCTCACTTGGCAACCTACCTTCCAAGCCTTCAAGCAACACTCAAGCTCACTTGTAAAAGCTCTCTTGTAAAGCTTTCATGCTCTTAATAAAAGTTTACATTCTTCCAAGCTTGTACTCTCTTTTCTCAAGTTGCCCTCAAGCTAACGCTTCTGCACACACAAAATGCTTGCTTACTTAGTTTTGGCCGCATGGACTTGAGTGTCACGCGAGAAACCTCAAAAATACTCACCCCGTGACAGGTGGTATTAAGGCAAAGGTTACGTTTATTCTTGACTCCACTGACCCTAACTAACGGGCATGGCATCAGAAGAAGGCGAAGCTGTCTAAGTTGAAGTGCTCCAAGAGCAAACTCGTGGGCTAGAGCCACGTACTCATCCCAAGCGAGGTAAGTCAAAAGCTCCTACCCCTACCGCTCTTGCAGGTGAGATCCTTGAGCCCCACGTTTCTCAGCTCGAACCTGATATGGGAGCTGTCCGGGCCCCTATGGGCTAACTCACCGACAATCTGGACAACCTAGTCCAAGAACACTCGGAAATCTCGCATGCTGCCAAAGCCATGATCGAAGAGCTTGCCAACATGTTTGGGGGACAAATTACCTCATTGGCCTGCAGTATTGCTGATCTCCGGAGATTAGTTGAAGGAGAGATCAACGAGCTACACTCGGAGATGGACGAATTGAGTGCTCAATGGGATGCACACCGGCGCGTCACCAGTCCTCCCTCCACTAGCACCGCTAATACAGGCGCTCATGCCCTTAAGGTGCTAAAGCCAGTAACCTTTGACGGCACCAGGAATGCCACTATGGAGAATTTCCTCGTCGGCTTGGAACAATACTTTAATGCATTGCGAGTGACTAACGACTATTTCTGCATCAACAATGCCCCTACATTCCTCTGTGATACTGTCCAACTCTGATGGAGGTGCAAGCACGCTGAAAGGAAGAAGGGATTGTGCATCATCAACACGTGGGATCAGTTCAAGGTAGAATTACGGAAGCACTTTATCTCAAGGTAGAAGATTGACTCTTACTAAGAGCATGTTGGCTAACCTACCTATATACTACATATCTCTTACGACAATCCCAGTTAAAGTGACAAAGAAATTGGAGTCTACTCAATGCAGATTCCCATAGGAAGATTCAGAGGACAGAAGGAAGTACCACTTGGTAAAGTGGAGAGAGATCAAAAAACTTGTGTCAAAAAGGAGGTTTCTGAGGTTGAGATCTTTTGTAGAGATGAATTTGGCTCTATAAGGGAAATAGTTATGGAGATTCATAAAAGAGAATGGGACATCATGGTGGAGAGTATCTGAAGCTAAATTTGGGACTATGGATAGTGGATGGATTTCAAAAGTAATGAATAGACCATATGAGGTGGGGATGTGGAGAAAAATTAACATGGATAGGCAAAGATTCTAGGAATACATTAGCTAGAAAGTAGGAAGAGCGAACAGTATTATGTTTTGGAGGGATGTTTGGGTGAGAGGAAGAATTGTTAAAGATCAATTCCC